ACACCAGGGCCAGCAGTTTCTCATGGTGTGTTCACATCACCTCAGAGTGGGGCCCAGTCACTTTTCCTGCAGTTAAAGTAACAGCTTTAATGGGTTGGCATGTGATAAAATTGTCTGCAAGGCCTTTTCTTTGCTGTCATTAGTAAAGTAGTAGTTTAATTTGCTGTGTTCCTGAATGAATCACAGAATCACAGGATGGCTGAGGTTGGAAGGGACCTCTATAGATCATCCAGTCCAACCCCCTGCTCCAGCAGGGACACCCAGAGCACAGGCGGGACATCCAGGCGGGTTTGGAAGATCTCCAGAGAAGGCGACTCCACAGCCTCCCTGGGCAGCCTGTGCCAGGGCTCTGTCACCCTCGCAGGAAAGAAGTTCCTCCTCACATGGAGATGGAACTGCCTGTGTTGCAACTTACACCCGTTGCCCCTTGTCCTGTCACTGGCCGCCACTGAGAAGAGTTTGGCCCCTTTCTCCTTACATTCTCTCCTCAGGTATTTGTACATGTTGATGAGATCCCCTCTCAACCTTCTCTTCTCCAGGCTAAACAGGCCCACCTCACTTAGTCTTTCCTCATACAAGAGATGTTCCAGTCCCTTAATCTTTGTTCCTCAAAGCAAAGCAATCAAGAATTTGTTTAACCAGGGAGGAGACAGGGGAGCAGCTTCCAATCCTCCTTCCAGTTCTCCCTCCTATCGAAGCATTAGCAGACACAACTGGCAAGAAGTGAGTTTTATTGGGGAACTGACCAAGCTGAAAGCTAACCTGACTTAAAATAAATTTATATTTCAGACAGCCCCTTTATTTTCTCCGATTCAGTATACAACCCCCTGAGCAAGCTCTGGGACAAAGTAGGAATGGAAGCTAGTGGCCAGCAATGTAGCAGGAGGTCAGAATTTCTTCCAGAGCCTATCTGGTACCCTACAAACTTGAATTGCTCCTAGAACAATGGCATACATTGTTTTTATTGATAATCTGATATTTCCTAGAAATCAGTGCAACAGATGAGSATAACTTATGATTTATGCTGATTCCTGAAAGCATTTATTTTAATAAGTAATTCCCTAGAAAATAGATTGCAATGATATCAAATTATAGTAAAGAGGGAGAAATGCTTGTGATCAAAAAAGGAATAGTAACTACTTGTAAGTGAGGAAGGAGGAAAGCATTAAACAGATATAATAGGCAAGTTTGTAGTGTAGCAAATGTAGATCTCAAACTTGTAACATTTAAAGACATTGGGCACTAAACTCCTTTCAAGCATAAACAGATAGCATGTATCACTAAAAATGTGTTTTGAACAGTAAATGGCTTAAGAATACTAGAGAATTGCTTTCAAACAAATATTATCCTATTTTTGTTTTATACTGCTGTTACTGAGTGCATTTAAATAAGTTACATAAATTGGTATGAACAAACAGCCAGGAAATAAAAATATTATGTGTGCAGAACTTGTACAATTGCTTAGGATATTTTGTGCCTCTAGTTGAATAGCCTCATCTTCGAAAATTACATCTACCATTCTATGAAGGTTGTTTGGATTATTTCTATGCTTTCACAGTCTTTTTTTTTTTTTTGCCCCAAATTTTGCTGAAAAGCTGAAGTCCAAATCATAGAATCATAGAATCATAGAATGCCGAAGGTTGGAAGGGACCTCAGAGGTCATCGAGTCCAACCCCCCTGCTCACACAGGGTCACCCAGAGCACGTGGCACAGGGCTGCRTCCAAGCGGGTTTTAAAGATCTCCAAAGAAGGAGACTCCACAACCTCTCTGGGCAGCCTGTTCCAGTGCTTTGTCACCCTCACAGTGAAGAAATGCTTCCTTAAGTTCCTGTGGAACTTCCGATGCTTCAGTTTGAAGCCATTTCCTCTAGTCCTGTCGCTGCCCACCACTGAAAAGAGGCCGSCCCCCTCCTCCTCMCTSCCTCCCTTGAGGTATTTATACACGCTGATCAGGTCCCCCCTCAGCCTCCTCTTCTCCAGGCTGAACAGGCCCAGCTCTCTCAGCCTTTGCTCATAGGGCAGATGCTYCAGGCCCCTGATCATCCTGGTAGCCCTGCGCTGGACTCTCTCCAGCAGCTCCACATCCCTCTTGTACTGGGGAGCCCAGAACTGGACACAGTGCTCCAGATGTGGCCTCACCAGGGCTGAGTAGAGGGGGATGATCACTTCCCTCAACCTGCTGTCCAATAAAACAAGAGTGACTTGAAAACTTTCACAGGGGCATCTGGTAAGAGTTTGGTTGTTACTTTAAAAACAGAGAAAGTCTAATAAAGGCCCCAGGGTCCAGAACAGAGACTGCTTTTAAGCATCTTGACTGTCAGTGCTGCTTGAATATTTAACCAGGTTCCTTTAACATTCTAGTTCTGTTTTTTTTAAGATAGCATTGCAAAGAGGGCAGGTCAGAGAATATCTTCTTTGCTGTCAGATGTAGTAAGTGTGTGCTGTGGTGCTCACCCTGTAATATGGGAAGATGGAGGAATTCATTGCAGCCCAAACTTTTGAAATTCCCAACATTCTGAACTTGATGATGTAAATATGTGAATTATGAGTAGCAGATCATCAAAACTGCCCCAAGGGGATCTCCTCCTCCTCACCTTTTAAGATGTGTATCCACTATAACTATAGCTCAGTCCTATACAGTTCATAATTTTAAACATGAAATTTAATTTTGAAAAAACAGAACAAGTAAAAGAAAATAGTTTTTAAGTTTAAACTCAAAGCTATCACGAAATGCATGTTATTGATAAGAAACGCATTTTCAAAAGTCCTGTGAGGTACAGTTAGCAAGGACTGGTCTTATAAAAAGGGTGCTGAAGGATAAAAGATGGTGCAAGACAGTATCTCTCCTCCCCTTGAGGCAGAAGCCAAAGGCCAGATACACATTTTCTTGAAAAAGAATCCATGAAGGTCCCGCTACTCAAAAGTCAGAGGCTAAGTAAATATTGCCCAAAGTAGTGTCAAAAACTACTCAGCAAATGCCTCATAAGCTTTCCAGAAGCAAAGTAAAACTCAGCCTATATGAACAGCATATCCAAAGACCTCCAAAAATCAATACAAATGGTGAAATTTACATGTGTTCAACTAGATAAACCCCATTTCATTTTATATGTCCATTTTAAATTATAGTCAATAGTTACCAATCACTGGTTTTTTGTTGTTTTATTTTGTGTATGTATTTTTTTTTCTCCAAATAACTGAGTTCAATTTTTGTTCTTTTTGGCATTGGAATACACAGTGAGATAGTCAGCTGACTTAAAAAAGTGTCTAAAACTTAATTCTTAGTTTTATCTAAAACTTAACTTTAAAAGAAACTCTAGGTTTCTTTCAAGTGCTAAGGGCTTGTGAGATATCTCTGGTCAATTTTAGTTGGGCAAATAGAGGAAATAAGTATCAAAGCAGGAGGGAGCAAGCACTCTTCAGAGAAAGTTCTGAAAAACATCTGATAATTGCTATTCTGGACTTACTGGGGAAAAAAAATCAGCATTTTATGATCAGCAAATCAGGAGGTAGTGAGTCTGYGTTAGGCACCTGTGTCGTCTTGTGAAAATGATCTTTTTTTTTTTCTCAAAAAGTAGTTTTACGTTAACTCTTTGCTTCATATTTATGCCATTTTTGAAGTTAATATACTTTAGTGTGACAGTTTAAGATTTGCTTTATAATCCTACCTTCTGAATTTTCTGGATGGACCAACTATGTGAGCGTGTACATATTTATGTACAGCTGCTCACACACTTTGGTGAGTAGCATGAATAGGCTTATAGTTACAACTGTATATGTATATATGTATACATATATATATACAGTTATAGTTATAACTATACCAATGTATGCACCATTAGATAACAGTTGAGGTATTTCTGTACTAGTTCTATGGCATAAATTTACAGTGGTAGTTACTGCATCAAATGGTGTTACAAACAAACCTCTAACAAAAGATGTAGAGACACATTTTGTTCAGATTAATAAATGGGTCAGAAAGGTTAATGATCCTTGAGCCATAAAATGTTTTATGCTGATTTTTACTAGTATTATGAAAGGGTATTTCAAAGTGGGTGCATTTGTCTSCTGGAAAGAATAATCTCAGAAAATGCTGCCTCTTTGCCATCAGGCTYGCCCTTTCTATTCAAAGTCATTTCTATACAGCTAAAATAACTTTTTATAGTAGAATTTTCARAGGAAACAGAATTAGTTAGCCAGTGATTCCTGTTACCATAATCAATTCAATAGTTTATTAATTAATGAACCTAATTAATTTAGGTTGCAGTTTTCAAGGCATACTGAAAGTAGCACARTTGCTTAACTGTTTGGAAAAGTCGAGGGTTATGGGCATAAGTGAAGTGATGTAATTTGCCTTTCTAAACRTTTTCTGTTGATTACACACGTGAAAGGAAATGTGACAAATTTGCAGGGCCAACAGTTAAAGCTAACACTGTTGGATTTTTTTTTTTCCGTGTAAAGTTGTACTTCTAATATTCAAATTACAGGACTCAAAACATAGCCCTTCAGTTTTGTTTCTACATGATATTTTTTCTGGACAGAGTCATAGTTTAGCATTGTAGGTTCTGTATTTCTTTTTTCACTACTATTAAAAAGGTTGATATGAATAAGCCATTCATATGAGTTCCTCTCCATCCAGGGACACTGGATCTTAGAAAACGGGAATCCACCAATTCCAATTATACACTTAAACAAAACTTTTTTTTTGTTAATCAGAAACAATTATGATATGCCTGTGGATAAGTAGGGCTAGCTGATTCCATAACAGGAGATTATGTTGACTCTTCGTTTGCCACCAATAATGATGGAGCGTCAGAGTGGCTTTTGTCACAAGAATGCAAACTTTTTTTTTTAAGCAGAAATTGTATCTGAGTGTATAGTCATTATGATTATATAAATATTACCRCATATTTTAACATTATTCCCCAAACTGTCATCTAAGACGGTAGGCTACAGAAGCGCTTTCACATTATACTTATGCATTGCATTTTCTTTATTCCTAGATCCAGGACGCATATGACATTACCCAGTATGAGAATATTTTTTATCTGTTCATGATTCTGGAACAACTTCTTCAAAGTAAGACAGAAGAAAGTAACGTTTCAAGCTTACAGTATATTGAGGAAGAAAAAAACAAATTTATGAAGAACCTTGATCAAATTATTCTTCACCTCTCAGATGAATTCCCTTTGTTTTCTTTATATTTGTGGAGAGTGAGTGTTCTTTTGAACTCAGCTCAAATACAAATTGATTAAAAAAAGCCTGCTTTTAACAGAGCATTTGTTATGGGAGYATATTGGAAAATGTTTAAACCAGACAGGTAAATTGTCATTATTGTAAAACATTTACTTTARACTACTATCCCATAGAACCGTTTCTGAGATAATGCAGTTTATTTCTGATTTTAAATATAGAAAGAAATGTAATAGTTCAGGTGTCATTTTGAATAAACACTGTTTCCTCATAGTGGAAAACAATATAGTGTTGTTTGCCTCCACAGGCAAAAAGGGCAAAAAGAAAAGCTATTTCAAGTGATATTTAAAATAAGCACTGCCAACATCTAAGTCTAGACATAATAAGGTTTCCAAMCTAGGCAGCTATATAAATACACATCTTTTTAGAGAGCTGTGGAGCTTCTGTGTGCTTTAGAGACACAGGTTGGTTGACAGGATTGGTAATAGCAAGTAGACTTAACATCTGGAAAAAGTGCAGTGATACGTTAAAAGTGATGTAGCAAAGACTGCAGTCTGATAATSGAATCAGAAGCAAAAATATTTTTGGTAATTTATTGCTATCAGTTCTTACAGAACAGTCTTCATTTCTGGTTTAATCAAAATAATAGTTTTCTGAGCTAAATAAAGTCTGATACACAACTTTGTGATGATTTGACAACTTTATTACTTTTACTGTGTACTGTTTGGCTATACTCCTATATGCATATGCAATAGACCTAATTTACTCTGAGACGACTAATAATTCACTTGAATAAATTCAGCCCATTCTACGATTGCTTTAAACCTTTGTTTCTAAGACAAATGAGTATTGATAAAATCCCCTTTTTATTTTATGTATTATAGCTGAATTTTACATTTTTATTTCTGTGGAATGAAATTATACTCATAGGAATAATTAAAGTTACATATTTTAATAGAAATAAGCATAAAAGATCTTTAGAATAAGAGTTCAACAATAGCTTAACAGATCCAGACTCCTTGATAAATTTGGAGAGTAATTATTATAACGAACAGCAATTTTTCTAGCAGTGGAACATTTTGTCTTCCTTATTCACCATAAATATAAAACATTTTTAATATTTGTCCTTTTCCAGTTGCAGTTTTGTTTAGATTCATTTTGTTTAGATTCATTTTTATATAAGTAAAATTCTCTGAAGCTGAATATATTTTCTGAATATACTGATACTGTAAATAAATGATCTTGTTAATTTGAATTTTATTTATTACAGATAATTAACCTGAGTCTTCTATACAAGTAAAATACATTAATATTTGCAAACCAAGTTACTTTGCTGTTAAATTGGCTCCCTGAAGAGATTCTTACACTTGCTGAGAGGTGTCCAGCATTATGTTCTGTTTCTTAAACGTAGCATTTGGTCATGTCATAGTGTAACACTTGTTGATTGCTTTCTTTTAGCAAACCTCAAGAGAAGTCTGTCTAATTTGTAAATCAGGTGGATAAATATACCTGAATACAGATATCCATGTAAAGTGTGGCCCATTAACTACTATTCTGTGAGCTTGAACATCCAACCACTTTTTTTACCCAACTGGTTATCCACCCATGCAGACCGTAACATCCTAACTTGGAAACAAGAATGTTACTAAAGTGGAGATGTAGAACATTCACTGCCATCCCCTATCCACAAATAAATTCATTTTTATCATAGAAACCAACTAGGTTGGTCAAGCATGGTTTACCTTTGGTAAATCCATGCTGGCTGTTCCCAGTCACTTTCTCCTCCATGTGCTCAAGAATGTGTTTCAGAAGGACCCCATGATTTTTTCAGGATGAGGATGAGGGCTGACTGGCCAACAGTTTCCAATTTTGACATTGTGTCCCTTCTTGGAGATCACTGTGACATTTGTCTGTCTTCAGTCTATGACTTTTTAAAAATGATAGCAGCCTTGCAAAGATACTGACCAAAACTTTCAGCACCCYTGGTTGTTGCCTGCCTGATGCCATTGGCTTGCAAGGTTCTTGCAGGTAACTCCTGCCTTCATCCTCATTAGTGCTGTTAGTTTCTCTCTTGAACCTTTTTCCTAAGCACTGAGGCCTGGGAGGCCTTACTGGCGAAGACTGAAGCAAAGAAGGCATCAAGTACATCATATTTATGTGTCTTTTGTCACTACAAGTTAGATAACTTTCTAAACTCTTAATTTGCTTGACAGTTACCTGTGAAGTATTGTGATGTAAACCACTTTAAGAGTTCCCAGTAATTAATGTAATACATTGTAGTTTATTTTTGCAATTCCAAATAATCTAGTCTTAAAATTTCAGAAATTTCCGACCTTGTATAAAATTATATAACTTGAAACACAGTTTATTTTTGCCTGTTTAAAAAAAAAAAAAAATGGAATTCAATCTTTAGGCCTTTTCTTGATATGGTAACACAGGACTCCAAGAATGAGGAATGACTACCTCATAAAACCAAAAAAAGTCTTACCATTTCTGCTGTTCTTATTCCTGCAACCTGTGATCACACCTGACCTGCAAGGGACACCTAAGTGGATTCAAGCAGTTGCCATCTCAGAGGTGAAAGGCAGTACCTGTGATACGTCTCACCAAGCAGAAGGGCAGTTCTCCGAACCCCRGACTGCAGCGTAGCACTGCAGTTGAGCTTTTCCTGCAGTACTGCTGCCTTGTCTGTCATTCCCTCATTTTGTATTTATGCTATTGATTTCTTCTTGCAAAGCATAGTTCTTCACACCTTCATTAAGCTCATTTTTACTTCCCCAGCCCCCATCAGTTTTGTAATAAAATGACACCAAAAACTACAAGATGTAAACTGTCAGTTTAAGGATTTGAGGGGACATGTCTGATTTTTCTTCCAAATTAGAAAAAAACTGCAAGCAAACTTATGTTGTAAGGTAAAAATCACTTAGGACAATAACTGGAATGCATGAGGTAATGAAATACATGCTAGTCATGTATATCACTGAAAGTATTTTTGATACTTTCTTCACCTGCTATTTTCTAGTAAAGGTGAAAAGGGTATTAGAGGCCGATTATGCTTAACTTACTGCAAAGTTAATGATCCTGTACTGCCCAAAATGCTCTCGTGGTTGTTTTGAAATGAATTAAAGATTTTCATTTTTAACATGGGAAAATGTTGACAGCCAGAGGGATTTGCTGCATCCTGTGCAGCAAATATCTTCTTGCAAATATCACATCTACCATTATTGTCAATACCTGTCCTCAGCTCTTCAGCTTTGCTTAGGCAGGACATACAGTGAGAGTTTATCTGCACCTGTTTGACAATCACAAAGGATGAAGTGCTGAAATTGTGTGATCAAATTTGAAATGAGACAGGARGCCCTCTTATCTATTTTACTTTTGCATGATGCTTTACCTTAATGATGATTTTTTGATCTTTTTTCTTTTTTTTAACTTAAGGATGCAAACATGGTGCAGCTCTCATAGAACTTCTTCCAAAAGAGTTTACTCCAAAAGTAAAAAAGCCTGAAATGAAAGACCAAATAACTTCATACATGACCTGGTTATGTTAACTGCCTAGTTAGGTTAACAAGCCTGTATATTTTTACTTTCTTTTTGTATTTTTAATCTGGATATATTATTTTACAAAATATTTGGAGGAAAAGTGCTTATGATTCTATGAAAATATCCAACCCACTTTTACAGTCAGTGGTAGAATTAATGTCAGCAATACTTTCAATGAAGATTAGAATTTATAGATTGCTAGATGAATATCTTACTAATTTTGAGACTAATAATACATCATTTTAAATAATGTACTACCAATTTTTGATMAACAGGAATATATTCATCTAATATTCTGGTCAGATCTTTTATTTTTCATTTACTTCAATTTAGCTCTCTTACTTGTCTCCTATGATTCAGTCTTTCCAAGCAGCATTATTTGTCTTTATGTCTTGTAAGCTGTTTTTATATCTTTCTGATATTGTAAGCTGTTTTTGATATCTTTCTGATATTATGATTCTTGGAGAGTAGTAATTCTAGCTATTGCTACCYGTTCTGCTTTGTATGTTTATATCTTTCCTCAGCCATGCTGCAGCTGCATGTAGAAAAACAGCTTATGTTGTGCAGAATACATTATGCACCTAAGTCTAGGAACTCTTCCTTGCATTAAGATTTAGACATAGATCTTTTCTTTCTGTAAAAGGAGAAGCTGAGCTCCTCTCACCTTCCTATGATGACACTGAAAGAGGTGGTTCAGCTAAAATGAGTCCGTCTCTMTGACTGCTCATTTCAACAAGGATGGTAGGTTCTGGCTGTGTTCAGAAGAGCACAGCCAGAAGGTTGTAGGGCACCATGATTCTGAGATCAGGATCAAGCAGTTGTGAGCAGCAGGATGTGGTCTGAGTAGCRACCTTTTCAGGCAGTAGCTACAATTTCTTCATCAACTTCATAGCTTTCTATGATGGAATAACTGGCTGGGTAGATAAGGGGAGAGCAGTGAAAGTTGCCTACCCTGAATTCAGTAAGGCTTTCAACACTGTCWGCCTTGTAGGCAAGCTAATGAAGTATGGGCTGCATGAGCTAACACTGAGGTAGACTGAAAACTGACTGAACAGCAGAGCTCACAGGGTTGTGATCAGTGGTGCAAAGTCTAGTAGTTGAGGCCAGTAATCAGTCATGTACCCCAGGGATCAGTATGAAATTCAGTCCTGTTCAACTTAATTCACCATGGCCTGGATAATGGGTCAGAGTTGGGACTGTTTGTCCTGAAGAAGGCTGAGGGGGCATTTATGCACTTAAGGAAGGGCATATCTGAGAGAAGGGTCTAAAGAGGATGGAGCCAGGCTCTTCTCTGTGCTGTCAGTGACAGGACAAGAGGCAATAGTCACAAACTGAAACACAGAAAGTTCTGTTTGAGCTGTTTTTTCCTATGAGGTTAACTGAGCACTGCAATAGGTTGCCCAGAGCGGTTTTTGAGTCATCATCTGTGGAGATATTCAAAGACTGTCYGGAGAGGGTCCAGGGCTCACYCTGCTTGAGCAGAGGGATTGGACTAAGTGATCTCCAGAGGTCCCTTCCAACCAACTGTTCAGTGATTTAGTAGTTAGGAA